TTTCCCTCTGGGATTATTAAAGTATGTTGGCAGTGCTGAAAACCCATGTAGCTAAGCCAAGAAACCCAATCCAACTTCACCAATTCTGTCAGAATGCAAAGGTCCAAGTTTCAGCAAGCAAATGTAAGATGTTCGTGCAAAGTTCTCAAAAGATTCAACCGAAATCCTACTATTTAAACAGCAACTATACCAAATTCTACACAAAACCTATGTGAATCCCTGAAGGAAATAAAAAGCAGATCTTCGATTGTTCTAGCATTTAGCAAAGAAAAAGCTAGTAATGCTTATTTACCAAAAATGAGGCTTAATCTGATTAAAATGCAGATAATAACAGGAAAAATAAGGACAAGAGTATGTGTCTTATACAAATATAAAAATTTGGTTTGAAATGTATATGACAATTAGGAAGGGATTAGGGAAACTTGAGAAGTGCCAGTAGTAATTAGAAATATTCATAAAATCTAAATATAAATCATAAAAAGATGCATGTATGAAAAGCTTCCTTTGTATGGGCTGACGTGAGTTGGTGGCGCCATCTTGGGGCGGTCGATAGTTTTGCTCAATGTAATGTGTTGAGCTAACCTGACAACAGCCAGATGCATGTCTCGCTCCGCCCAGCTAGGCGGAGTGAGACATGCATCTGGCTGTTGTCAGGTTAGTGTTGAGCAGGAACAGAATCAATTTTAATCAACTTTAACTCACGGAACATCGAAAACATTTTCACAGTTTGTTTTGTTTTTGTTTGTTTTTTCTGAATACAAACGAATGGTTCACTGCTTTTAAATTTTCTTAATCCAGTTAAGAGTAATAGAATATTCTGATAGGATGGATGTAAGCACAGTGTAGTGGGAAAAAGTATTCAACTATTTGCCCCATTTAAATAAACGCAGATCGATTGATACTCAGTCTGCACTTTATTTTTATCTTTGCAAAGAGAGAACAGTTTATCATATGACCCGTATTGCACTGTAATCAGCCCTGTTCTGATTTGGACCACATTCATTCCCCTTACTTAAAAGAATGGAAAGTAGTCGGAGTCAAAACAAATTACAGACGCTTTGGTTAAACAGTAAGCAGGGAAATTGTGTGGTCTTGCAGGTGAAACTAACTGAGTGAAAATTTTTAGAGTGAGTAAATAGCACAAATGAATATATGAAATAAGGGAAATCGAAATCTTTCGACAACACACAGCCACTCATAACTTTTCTATAATTTTTGTATTACTATAACAGTCCATGGATTCAAACAAAAATACGCTGCACAGTGCTTAGGCATCTTTCTTCTGTTCTGGTTAAAATAGCAGGTGAGGGTAGCAGGTCGGCCTCCCCAAGATGGTACCTGTAATTTCTTTGCCGCGACAGTCAATGTTGGGTCTACTCTTATATGTATGTCTGTGCTTTTGGCAGCTAATCTGCACAGGGCAGCAACTTTTCTTTTTTAGCCATTGTCTAAGCCATATACCCACATAGTTCTAAAGGCATTATTTTATCATATAATTAGCCTATATGGTACTCTAAGAGGCCTACAAAAAGCATGATATAGGACCTTTGATGCTTATGACTTTTGCTCTATTTATCACCTTAGAAATGCTGACATTGTTTTGCAGTTTTCAGTCTTTTATTGTTTTCTCTCATGACAATGTGAAAGCCTTATGCCAGAATGGTTAACTTTGAATATTAGAAGGCTAAAATTAAAAGCCATTCAAGTGCTGTGCTGGAATTCCAAATAGAACACATAGACACATTCATGAAGGTATAAGGGAACGATTGACAGTGAAGACTTAGCTTAGAAATATATCCAAAAAGAGACAAAGAAAAACAGTAAGATGACTTTAAAGATGCAGATTGACATCATGTTAAATGGCTTCACTGACAAAAAGCTAACCAATGATTGAAAAAGCTTTCAAAATTATTGTAATAACACCAAGCACACAGTAAACTACTTGAGAGAGAAAGGTTGTCAGGAAAGTAAATCTAAAGGAATAACAAAACACATAACTCTAAATAAAGACAACTAAAATGAATCAAAAAACCTCTAAAGAAGGGAGCAGACATTGTACAACAAAGAAACAAGACCCGAAATAAAAGATTCACAACAGGAACCACACTTTATACACTCTGAAAGGTGTGCAATACATCTGAATAATAAACAGATAATAGGCTCCATTATTTTATTGTAATAGTCTCTAGTTTACAAAAGGGGTATAGAGCTGTCATGCACACACTCCCATAAAATACAGTCTGCGCCAGTCAGTTTGAAAATCTAAATAAAATAATGTAGGGACAAAAATCCTTCATTCTTTAAAGAGTTAACATCAAAACATATCAGTAATCATATGTAATTTTTCACAGAGAAAAAAAATATTTAAGTAAAGTTAAGTTGAAAACCTGAATTTTTTTGCTAGCCCCTCATTATTATACTCCAAATATGTAATCTGTAATATGTATGTGCAAATAAGACAGACACACATTTCCAAACTTCACGGTCAACACAAAATCCAAAATGTTTTCACATATTCAGAAGTCAAGCAGCACAAAGTGACCATTGCTCATCCAGAGCATCCTTCACTTTGATTTCTGAGACAATCTGAAAACACAAAGGCAGCTGTGAGCATAATTATGCAGCCTCACAAATTCTTTTGAAACAGAGAGAACAATGTGCTTCCAGCAAAGGCAACTGCTTATATTCACATTTATCTAGTTCTGGTTAATTCACCTCCTGATTTCCTAAGCTGTGTAAAATAAAAAAATAAACATATAGCATATCAGGTGTCTTCAAAAGGTGACAGTCAAATATCTGCATAAGGAAGCTTACTGCACATGCAACTTTGCTGTCGCTTGAGACAAAATAAGAAAGAGCATTTTTTTTGTATAAGAGTTTTAACCTATGTCAAAGGGGTTTGACTCACCCTGTTAACAGATTTCTGCATAGTCTAACACTGCTTCAGCCACAATGTCCATAAAATAATTTTACAGTTTAGGAAAAAAGAGGCAAAAGAGAGAAACTGTATCTTTAATATAAATGTGGGAGAACAGCCAACATTTATACATACAAGTTGACATACACCATCACAGGCATGAATGTCATACAAAGCTGGCTGGTTTATTAATTTATTTAAACCATTCTTTTTGCAGGCTGGGATTAAAATTCAGCGTTGCAACATCGTCAGACCAACTATACCCACTTACTCATGCAGGGTGATGGGGGAATTGCCCCTTATACCCAGCTCTCATTGAGAACATCCAGAGACAGACAGCCCTAGACCAGTCTCCAGTCTATCACAAGGTGACATTTACACACACCCTCAAACCTAAGGGCGATCTAAGTCAGACTAATTAACCTATCATTCTTGTTTTTGTGGACCATGGAAGAATACCCAGAGAGCACCCAAGCATGCAGGGAGAACATGCAATGACATGCAGAAGATTCCTGGTCAGAATTAGGACCTTATTTTTGCAGAATAACAGTGCACCGCTACTGCTTTGCCATACAACTACAGCATTGATATCACTCCGAGTTACGCTTTCTGTGTCAGTACTAGTTTTTGTTTCTCAATTAAATAAGGCGCAGATTTGGCTTTATTAGCCAGGATTATGTGCATAAAAAAGGAATCTGTCCACAGTGTTTGGGCATTTAGTATAAATATATAAAGCTATGTGCATGTACAACTGTTTTTATGAAGAATAAGAAAACAAAGGCAGGCTGAAGTCAGGCAAATATGCTTATTTAGTTTTACAGCAGAGTAGCTGACTGCTTAGCATGTAAGCTGTTCATGAACATCCTTACAGCCTGGTTAAGGATGTGCAGAAAGAAAACTTGTAAATGTCTTCCTCTGGTTCACAACTGTGCAGGGGCTAATAAACAACATATTTTAAAATTTATCTATGAAGATTATGATTGAGGTAAGGGGGGATTATGGCTAGGAAATTGTAAAATTCCTGGAAATGGAGGCAGCCTAAGAACATTGCATGTGTTTCCAATACTTATCATCTCCACTGACCAACATGTTAAAGGGTTGAACCTGAAAGTCAAACTGACAGCACAACCTCTGATGAGCTCTGTAAATAAGTTCCAAGACAGTAGTAAGTCGATCCTTAAATTTAAATATAACATGAGGATGTCATTATGGTAAAACTAAAGTTCTCCATCCTGAAAAAGTTCCACACCCTTGAAGCCAATACACATTCACTATTTAGAACAGGACATCAAGAGTCACACTTACTTCAAAGAAGGGGGGTTGTGCTTCAATAAAAACTATTATAACTTTTTCCTAGGTTTTTAATACACAACTAAACACTGCATGACATGAATTGGTGTGACTGAAACGTTTACCTTCCTTTATCTATTCCAAAACCAGTCTTGACAAAAAACAAAAACAAGAGTCAATGTTTTTATCAATCATTTCCACGAATGTCCAACTTTTACTTTAGGTGAGGAGTTTTAGTGGATATCTCCTTTGACCATAAAGCTTTTCTCCAAAAAGATGTGGCTTTCCAATCAGCAGCTGAAATTTTCGGTATAGGTTGAATGTGTTGAGTTTGGAGCGGAGGCTACCCTCTCAGTCCACTAGGAGGAAAAATACCACTTTACTGTCAGGAATGATTGCGGTGCAACATCTTTATTGGTTTTGTTTTTGCATGCTCAGGTCTTGGTGGTGCCATAGTCATTTCTGTCATCATCTGCAATAGCAGATGATGGACTTTTTGTTTTTGGGTAAGTTTTCATTTTGGGTTCTCAGTCATGCTTCATTTTATGTAATTCTATATTGTCAAGATTTATTTCATTTTTGAATTCTTAGTTTTACTCTTCTTCGTCACATCTTTTCAGCATTTTCGCTATTATTTATTCATTGGTATAGTTCTAGTTAGTTTTTTTTTTTCTTAGTTTGTTTTCTATGGCTTCAGTTATCTAGTTCATTCTCTTATCCTCTAGTTTTACCTTGTTTATTCATTATTTATAGTCATTAGTTTTATTCCCATTTAGCCTTATTTAAGTTATTTTGTAGTTACAGTTAAACCTTGTTTTCCCTTTTTACTCTTTGTTGCCCCCTGGTGCCCCTTTCTTTTCCCCTTAGCTCCTTTCTTGCTGCTTCTGTCCACACCTGCTCCCAATTAACTGATTACTTCACTCCTTGTTCTGACTCCCATATATACTCCTCTGCTGCAGTTCCTCTGCGCTGGATTCTCTTAATTTCTTCTTGTATGTTTTCTCCTGAGCATCTCTAGCTTTTGTTCCCAGCCTGTTATTTCTGGATTTATGTTTTTTTTACCATCTACTTCACCATTAAAACTGCAAAAACTGCTTCCTCAACTCTGCAATTGGATCCACAAAAAATCCACCAACCCTGACAGTTTTCTGAAAATTATAAACAACTTCCTCTGTTTTGGATCAGATAAGAGAAACTTAGACAATGTTGGGTTCTCATTCTGGACAATGACCTTGAATAACCATCAAAACTGGTTATGGAATAGATAAATCAGGGGAGAAAAATATAAAATAATATACATAGTAAAGAAATGAGGACTTTATATTGAAAACCTTTCAAAAGAATGCGCTCAATTCTGCTTCAGTTCTTCCATTGTGAAAAAGAATAGTTTAAATAAGTCTTTATAAGAATCATAATAAAGATGAGATTCATGCTCGGGATGAGTGTATGTTAACATTTTGGAAATAACCAAATGTGAGCAGATAGATTAAACAGCCATTTTTAGCTCTAAATGCCTTTCTTTATTTGAATTTTTTTACCCGTGTTTCAATGGTTACCCTACGTGGTGGAGGCTCTTCGATGCTTCGGTTGGACACAAGGTCCTGCAGCTGTAGAGCTCCTCCACCTATAAAACAGAAAGCTGGACACACTGGAGCGGAGCAATCCATGTGTCCCTCCCACAAGACACGCAGGGAGTGGGCATCGTAGAAGGTAACCTGTCCTTTGTCACAGTCCAAACAGACTCCGAGCCGTGGCGGGAGGGGAGCAGTGTGGGAGTGATGCTTGCTGCTGTAGCTGCTGCTTTGGGAGTGCAGTACTGCCTGGCTATGGCTCTCACTCTGACTCTGAGAGGGACCATTTCCTTTAGGAAGGAGGATCTTACCCATGCCAACTGTGAGGAAACAGAAGGGAGGGGAATCCTGGCCATCTTCAGCATCGCTGTCATGGCCACTGTCTGGGTCACAGCTGAGAGAGGGAATGACAGGTGAAGCAAGGATGAGAAATTTCAGTAAGATAGGATGAAACTGATCAACTATCTTAGTTTTAGTCAGGAAATATACATCTGAAAATGTTTTCTATTCTTAAATAATACACAAATAATCCCCTCACATCTAAAAAACAAAAACAAAACAAAAAAAACCTTATTGTACCTTTACACATAGTGTACACTTTACACAGAGTGAGGCCAAGTATGTGTAAAGGTTCACAGTTCTTAATGCTGCAACTTTGACTACTTCTAGAACTACTTAAAGTAGGTAAGGTACGTGTCTGGCTGTCAGCCTCCTCCTGGAAGCAGCTCCTTGTTGTGTCAGCATCTCTGTCTGTCTTAAACACTAGTCATTCCTTTTAAAAAGGTTGCTAAATATTTTAATGTTGAGTTCTATACTTTGAAGACTCAATTTCTAGCATTTGCATGTGTGGATGAAGGAAAATGAGAACTGTTAATATTTTTTTAATAAGACCAAGTATATAAATAAATGGCCAAATTAAAGGCTGGAAAAATGTCTGGTTTGGTATCCACAGAGCTGTTAACATTTCATAAGTTCAAATTCACTCACAGTTTTTTCCTTTTTGTCATTTAAAATTAAAAAATACATTATTAAGCTTACTTTACTCCCAACCATTTGGTGTCATTATTTTTTATTATTTATACCTTTGTGTAATTTAAATTTCTCCCTAACCCTCACAAAGAGCAGGGAACAAAGCAGACAACTCAAGATCTGGCCTGAAGAGGCCATTAATTAGAGAAGCAGGAAAGATGTGATGCACTGTAGCTCAATATGTTGAAAGGGAGAGTGCTCTATTTATACTGCGGATGTATTTTTCTTTAGTAGGAACAAGGAAGGGTCAGAGTGGATGGGAAGAAGGTGGAGTTAAATAAAGACACAAAACATTCAGGCAGAGCACATGGAAAAGTTTAGATCAAAGATTATTGATGTTTTATAGTGACCTACAGTAGTCAAAGTCAAAAAATATTTATGTTCACAGATGCACACCATCCAACCTGACTAACCCTGAGTCATTTTGAAAAGAAGAAAAGGCAAACATTTAATCTCTTAATGAGCAAAGCTGATATTGACAGACCAAATAGTTTTTAGAATTAGTCAGGCAAAATAATAATACACGCCACACATTTTAAAACTAGGCAGTATATAACTTTAACTATGCATCTAATTCGACAGATGTTATTGTGATTATCATTTATGAATCTCTAAAAGAGAATTATAGTGTTCAAATTATCTGTTACCGAGGACTCGCCATGTCCTGAGGGAGATGGAACCACTCTTGTAGCTTTGTCTCCTGTCCAACTCCGACCTAAAAATGAGACACACAAAAGTACCACAAAAAAGGTCTGATTAAATAGATACAGTCACATAATAACCTGCCTTTATATGTGACTCGATACATAATTTTCACCTTCACCAAGTAGGACCCAGGCTCTACAGAGCATGCCCAGTAGTGTCTGCCGTGAGTGACAGCCAAGTCTGCCACAAGTAAGTCGGAGGTTAAGTGACAAGAGGTGAGAGCGCGGTCAGCGGCTTGGAGAAGGGAAAGGCCAGGGACACTTCGGGCGTAAGTCTGACCTTTACCCAGCGCCAGACGGTCGGCATGCAAACCCCAACGAGAGTCCAAGGAGAAACTCAAAACTGGATGGCAAAGAAAAAGAGAGGTGAACAAGGAAAAATGGAAAGGTAATCAAAGAAATGAACTAAATATCAAGAAAAAGAGAATAGCTGAAGAAAAAATAGGAGTTGTAATAATTATTTCAACAATAAAACAAAAAAATAAATTTATATTTAAAGAAGAAAAAAGAGGAAAAATACAGTCAACCTGTCTCAGTACACTCTTTTTCAAAATATGAAATAAGGACATGCTTAATGAAGTGATGCTTACATTAAATGAGAATCTGTTAAAGTAAATTAATGTATATTTTAAAGCACTAAAAAACAGACCTGCAGCATGAAAGATAGAAGTAGAGATGTTATGACGGAGGTGACACTGGAATTCAGAGCAAAAAAGCAAGTCTGTGCAGAAACTAAAAAGGCAGGAATGGAAGTATTCAAGGGATGGAGAAAAAAATAGACATTGAGGTTAGTCAAACATGTTGGTGACCTGTCAACAGTGAAAGATGGCAACAGTTAAACAACATTATTGTGGGATTCAAACCAATAATTTCTATCTTTAAAAAATTGACCTCGAATTCAAAGGTTTCTGATATAACATGTTAGATAAATATTCAAAACGAAGGGATGGATGGATGGATGGATGGATGGATGGATGGATGGATGGATGGATGGATGGATGGATGGATGGATGGATGGATGGATGNATTAGACCTGCAAATGAATAGCAAATGAAATTTTGAAAAAATTCCATGTTATACTTATATATAAACAAACCAGATCCCATTCACACATCTAACCTGGTGCAGGTGGGGTGTGGAGATAAACCTCTTCACTGTAATCTCCGAACCCAGCCTTGTTGCAGCCCCTTACTCTGAGCACGTACACACTGTCCATCTGCACTCGATCTACCACTGCACTGGTCCCCTTAACCTCATTCAGCCGCAGCCATGGTGTTGAAGAGTTCGGGGAGCTGATGCCGCCCCATGTTGCACCAGCTCTGCGCTGGTATTCAACAGAAAAATGCCACGCTGGAGCCGAGTCCTGAGGCAGGCGCCAGCATAGAAACAACTGGTCATAAGCTAAAGTCTTCTGAGTGTCAATGACGGGAGCCAGAGGGGCTGTTGAGCAGAAAAAAACTCAGATCATTAGGTGTTCATACAACTTCACCTTTATTCAACTCCTCAGTTAATTGGGTTCACTGATGAAATAAACAAACAAGTAGCATTTTTAATAAAATAATATATAATTTAAACAGCTTAAGCTAACCTATATGAGAAGTACAACATTCCTAATGAATCTCAGCCCTATCCTTACTTGTAAAGAACTCCAGTTCATAATTATTTTGCAGTAAGCATCTTTTTCAAAGCTAGGCTTTTTTCAAGGGCACCCCAGTCTCGTCCAAGAGGGACTTCAAACCATGGCAGATGTCTTAAGGTCTGCAGATGCCAGACAATCAGACAGTGTGATATTTTCATCCAGAATCTTATGATACCCATATATAATTATGCATGCATACGTCCATCCATCCATCCATCCATCCATCCATCCATCCATCCATCCATCCATCCATCCATCCATCCATCCATGATACCCGATTGAATAAATCTTCCCTTCCATATACTGCAGAGGAAGCACAGCAGCCACAGAGCATCACTGAGCCAACATCATGCTTCACTATAGGAATGGTGTTATTTATAGCATATTTCATATTTTCTGTTGAGACATGCTGTAGATTCATAAATAGCTGAGGGCTGCGTAACTTGAGTCGGATTGATAGCTGAATTTGCATGAGATCCTTATTAAATTATTTGATTAATTAGGAACCTTTTAAATTGCTAGCTAACCGAATTTTAGGTTCAGATGTACTCTTAGGACAAAGAAGGTGAAATGAGAGCGCACCCTGAATGAACTGCAAGCTGTTGATGAGCTTGACCTCTTTGGATGCATCAAGGTGAAAGTTTCTGAAGGAGGTTTCAGCAGCCAGAGAGAAACACTGCAGGTTTTCTATGGCTCTAACCAGCCTAAAGTGGCAGAATAGAAGAGATGAAAAGGGAAAGCACAAAGATATGGATATATTAACAAACGGCTCGCTTTGAGCTTACAGTACAGTTCCCCTAAATAAACTAGTACTACCTGCTGTGCGTTACTCTTGCAGCTTGTACAAAACAGGGAGCATCTGTCTCTTTGAGCAGCTCCTGGGTGAACGCCATCAGACCAGCATGCTCCATCAGCCCCTGTTTCTCAAAGATCTGAGTGGACAGGGCCTCATCTCTTCTGCTTCGAGATCCCTCCAAGGCGATAGCTAGAGTCCCCTGCCGTTCAGCTACGGCTGTTCCAAGCTCTCGGATGCAATGAGTCAGCTGATGCAGAGCCACAGCGCTGTTAGCCTGCAGAAAAATACAGGGAAGAAATCTCAAGAGATTCTAGAAACCTGTTCTCCACAATATCTGCTTTTAACTTACTCCCTCCATCCTGACTAGCCTATTTCACATGCAGGAATAGAAAAAAGGAAAACTCTGAAGAAAAGGGTTGTTGTTTATCATTTAGCTCACCGAACTTAAACATAAAGCAAACTACAAACCTACTGTCACCCCTGCTGTAAATACCTTGTATACTTTCCCTTTCATTTAGGTCCTCCTTCCTATCTTCCTACAACATATAACAAATTGGATCAACCAGAAACATTTTCTTGTCTCTCTAGATTACATGCAGGAATTTTTGTGTGGGAGAAATGATAGCCGCAAATGAAGACTGGTTTTGTGTCTGAATAATTATTTCTATACTGCTTCTATAAGCCTTTTAGATATTCATCAGTTCAAATCATGATCAAAATCAAATCATGACCCATGGTTCAGTTTTCTAACATCTTTTACTAAAATATCCCTGTAGTTTAGAGGTATAGTGTTGGATTTTAGCAAATTTTTAAAGAAAGTTTGTTGTGTATGTGCATAAAGAAAATGAACATGCACAACCCTGTACATGCACCCAAGATGGAACACATTAAATGCGTGTGTGAGAGGATGCACAAGCCCATCTCTCCTCGTGCACGCTCTGTATAAAAAGTTGCTGTTTATATCTCTTATACACGCTTACTTTCCAAAAGAAGATATGCAATTTTTCCACCATGTCAGACTCACCACCGGTAAGTGAAAATAGGGACGAGCACGTAGGATGGCCTTATGTAAACACATCAGCAGAATGATTGACAATTAGGAGGACCACTTATTTTGATGATCCACCCGGAAAAACACATCCACTATACCTTTATAGATTTCCATGAGTCATGCATTCAAGCAAGTCCTTGGAAGAAAAATAAGGCCACAGCATCACAGATCCTTCATCGTTCCTAACAATCAGCATGATGTTTTTTTTTTTACATTTTCACTCCTTTTTTTTTAGGACCAAACAGGGCCTTTAAAAAAATAAAGCTAGCCTCACTAGGTTGTTTTATTGAGGGAATGACCACAAGAGGTCACTCTTTTCCACAAATTGACAAACAGAGAGCTCTACATTCTGAGTTATAACAATCATACAGCCATGGAGATAAAAGACAGATATAGACTAAAGGCGATGACATTTAGAAAACCCAAAACTAATTCAGGGCAGAGACACATATGATGTGATCATGTTGATGAGTTCTTAGTTTTATTAAAGCAAGAAAAAAGTTTATGTAATATTTTAGCTGTTGCACAAAAAGGAAAAAGGTTGTTTACCTCCATCTGTTTGATGGCAGCTTCCAGCTGAGAGATCTGATTCTCAATCGTCTCCTGATTGGCTAGGATGAAGTTAACCTCCTTGCTAATCTTGTCCTGTAAAACAAAAAGGTAAATATGAGACACCTGCAAGCTCCCAACGCAGAAACTCAAAGAAGGTTGAAGAGTCTACATGCACTTACCTTGAGGGCCTGATAGGCCTGTGCTATGGGCAAAACTTTATGTCCGTGGTGGACACGACGGAGCTTACACAGCTGGCACAGCAACCTTTGGCAGTTACGGCAGTACCACTGCAGGCGCTCCTGCTCATGCTCTGTGCATGTTAAAACCTGAAAGACAAAGTCTAGGTTAAAAGCTAGGACAGAAAGTTAGCTAATGCACTCAGGGCACACAAAAAAAAGCAAGAGATGAACCTTTGGTCTGAAGTTGTTGGTGGGTAGAATGTGTTCGTGCTGAGCTCTAGGAGTTCCCCACGGATGGTAGAGTTTAAAACATTCATTGCAGAAGTTTGACTTGCAGTCTGCACAGCCTTTAGTGGCCTCCAGCGACTGGGGAGGCTTACAGAAGCCACACATAATCGCCACACTGCCCAGGCTTATTGTGTGTCTGTACCTAAACACAAATAGGACAGAATTAAGGAAACATCTGCAAACTGAAGAAAGAAAGAGATCATGTGACAGTGTCCTGCTTCCTTTTCAGCTAGGCTTTCCACTATTTTAACTGGCTGACCTGGATACATCAACAGCACTCGCCGCTTTAATGCAGTACAACATGCAGCATTTCTGTTTGAAGCTTTGGGAGTTAGCTGCAGCCATCCAGCAGCTGCCTGTGAATCTGACCCTCTCATTTAAACCAACTATAGCAGATAATGAGACAAATACAACATCCAATTAGCAATTTATGAATAAAACTTGTAGAACAAAACCAAAACTGATAGCTTCTCGTCGCACAGAGCACAGCACTTTTTAAGCTTTCAAAGCAAAGTGCTCTTTTGGTTAGCCTTTGATCAGGGGGAAAGGAGTGTCTCATTATTTAAAGTCCTTCCATCAAATGATTTTCTGTCTCCTTTTAAAGCAGTATTGAATTGCCTGGTTACCTATTTCCCAAATGTATTGCTTAAAGGTTGGTTTATAAAGCTTTGCAGAAATATATCTACATTTTTATTTCACAATTTATCATGTTTACAATCAAACGGACAATAAATTACAGAGAACAACGTTGAAACCAAACAATCATGAAGACTAAGGAACACAGAGGGAAGCTCTTGAGTAAAGTTTGGGGAGGTTTAATTCAAACAGGGTTAGGTTGTAAAACTATTTTCAAAGCTTCATCCCATGGTTCAATATCCTTCATTAAAAATTTACAACTAAAAAAACACATATCTACCAGAATACAGCGAAGAAGCCATTGTTGTAAAGAAAGTTCAGAAAAGTCATACAAACACTGACTTCAGTATTAAATATGTGGAGGTGTTGCTCTGATCAGATAAGAGCAAAATTAATTATTTCATCATAGGCCAAAAACCAAAAAACAATATGCAGAGACCAGAACAAGCATCTCCATTTGTAAAACATGGTGGCAGCGGCATCATAATCAACAAGAACAGAAAAGCTGGTCAGAGTTATAAAAAGAGTTAGATGTTAGGTTACGCATTTACCTTATCGATTAAATGCGATTGTAATTGGGATAAAGTTCTTGTCACAATGAGAATATTTATCTATTATCTAAATGATTGAATATGTTCAAAAACATAAGGCGGGTGAATTGTCAAAATATCTTTTGTACTTTTTTTCTTCTGCTTCTTTATTTGTTTTCTATTGAAAATAGAATTGAATTCAACTTTATCGTCATTATATTGTTACAACTAGAAAGCACAAAATTCACTCTCTGCATTTAACCGCTTGGGGAGCAGTGGGCTGTCATTGTGCGGCGCCTGGGGAGCAGTGTGTTAAAGGTCTTGCTCCGGAACCATCAGTGACAGTCCGTGGGAGTGCGGCTTGAACTAAACCTCAGGATTCCAAGCACAATGTCCTAACCACTAACACATTGACCAATCCCCATTGGGATTGACAAATTCAAAGAATATGATTAAATGTGTTCAATTTGAGATATTTAGTGATACAAATTACATGTCTGTGTGAAGAAGCCCATTTTAAATTTGTATAATTTTAGCAGCAGTATTAGTAGAGATATGAAAACCATACAGTTACCTGAGAAAGACTGTGAAGAAGTAATGAAACTTTTTTCATCCTTACTTTTATCAACATAGTACCACAAAATATCATAAGGTTTTAAGTCTACATGGCCATGCCCTAGTTTGATGGAAGAAAACATTTAGAGGCTAAATAGATTTTAGATTTCTGGAAAAATCTTCTACCACTGGTGAGCAAACAACCAGAACTATGATATGAGTTTATATACAAGCCTACTCCTGCTAGGACGGACAATTCAAGGTCTAAATCCCCAGTGAGAGCTTGAAAACTAATGTTAAGAGATATGCTAAACATCCAAACTTATTGGAAAGAGTTATTCTGTTAATTAAAGAAAGATGAACATTTTCACCATCTAGATCTAAAAATCGGGTAAAAACATTTTCAAACCTTCTTGTTGGTCTATCACAATAAGATCCCCAAAGACACATTTAACTTTGTAGCTATAATGCAACCAAATTGGAAGAGCAACAAATGTGCTGTTTTTGAAGCTGTTGTGGCGGTGGGATCTGCTACATTTACAGGGATGGGCAATTCCAGCGCCAGAGGGCTGGTAGGGTGCACTGTCAGGGACCAACCAGCAAAAGGGACACTGGAGGTAATTAAAAAAATCTGGACTTTATTGACCCTAAAGTAAAACATAGTGTTAATGCGTTTGTGTGCATGTAAACCTCTCCACGATGCGCTCCAGAGTGAGATTGCGGAAGCAGTCGGTGAGTCCTCTGTCCCCGAGCTCCACGTCCTGCTGACAAGAAGGACAGGGGAAAAGCATGGGGGGAGGGGCTGCTTCCCTCCTCCTTCTCCCTGGGTATGTCCCACATACTTGGAGAGGAAAACAGGTGTAAAGGAGATGAAAGAAAAGAGAGGAAATGTGAAAGGAGGCAGTTAATGAGGCTGATGAGTAATATGTTTGCAGAATTAGAAGTATAGATTATTTTCACAGTGGAAATATTTTATGGAATTGTAGCTTCTTTGTCTTTTCCAACACACACTTTCAAATACAATATAAGCTGGATGAGTAAAGCTTTGCATGTCCAGTGACAAACTGAGTCAACCAAAAGGACTCTAACATCATTATGCATCATCGTCTCTGCGTTTTTACATTACATCAGGCTGATGTCATCTCTTATATATATGAGTTGTGTCTCCAGCAAAAATATCTAAAATCTACAAATCGCACACAAAAAGTTCATTCAAAAACTCTCTCTTGAACCTGTTCTGATGACCCGCTCCAGGTGGTCAGGGGTCCTGGGTGCAGGCCTGCGTGCCTGACGTGGAGAGCGATGGTTAGGTGTGGAGGCCGGTGAGACAGGCTCTGGAGGGAGATCTGGGGGAGAGTAACCTCTCTGCACCAGGACCTCAGCTGCACACAGCAGACACACGCTGTGCAGGCATGGAAGCAGGATGGGCTGCTTCACCATCTCATCGCACACAGGGCAATGCAGCTCCTGTTCCATACTCTTCATGTTGGACTGGAGAGAAAAGACAGGGGGGGGTGGACACGATGGGAAAGGTTTAATGGGAAAAGGTTCTGATTTAAATATACCTAAGAAATTATCTAAATATATTTTCAAGCCTCAGTCAAATCAAACTGTTGAAGTTTTAAAACTAGTTGAGAGGAGGAAAGAGTGCTGGCTATTTAGATGTACATATGTTCCAGCTTCAGTCCACTTACACACCAGCATACTGTATCTAAAAGAACCTTTACCGATTGATAAACTCTCCAAACCATGAGTTTTCATGCTTCACTTTATTAACCAAATCTCTTTATGTTTCATTTGATCCTCAAGTTATTCACTTTACAATATCTAGAGTCCAGAAAATGATCTCTATGATCTCTATGAATTCATGAGACGTATCACATAAGAGGGACAGGAGTACAGATGGTAGAAAAGAAACAAGGAAACAATGCAGGAACACAAGGAAGGAAGGAGGAGAAATGGGTAAGGAGGGACACAATGGAGAGAAGATGCAAACAGCAAAATATAAGGAGGAAAATTTTGAAAAATTGGATAAAATATTAGCGATGGAACCAAAGGAATGATCTACAAAACTAAAAATACAAGAGGGGAATAAAATAGAGAGAATGAAACAAGGAAGGGCGAGATGGACAAAGGGAAATGAGAAAAGAGATAAAGGGAGGCCGATCATCTTGGACTTCAAGAAGAACCAGTCTAACCATGCTCCACTGCTCATCAACAGCTCAGCTAGGTGGTAAGCAGCATTGGATTCCTGGGGGTGCACATCACAGACACCCTCACCTGGACTGTAAACACCACCTCACCGGTAAAAAGGGCACAGAAGCGCAAGTACTTCCTGCAGAGCATGAGGAGGGCCCACCTGCCCCCACCCATCTCACCACCTTCTACAGAAGCACCATAGAGAGCGTTCTGACCAACTGTCTCACTGTGTGATGTGGAGGCTAGTGTCTCAGACTGGAAGAAGATGAGAAGAGTGGTGAGAACAACAGAGAAGATCATCAGGGCTCCTCTTCCCTCCATAAAATAAATTTCATCCCAGCGCTGCGTGTCCCGTAACATCATCAATGACCACTCACACCCCCACCCTGGTCTGTTCTCCCTGTGCGATCTGGGAAGAAGCTTTGCATCATCCAGGTACAGCAGATTCTGGAGCTGCTTTTTTCCCCATCAAACCAAAATACTGCGTAATTGCACCATATATATTTGTATTGAAATGCTCTGAACTTCCATATCAGTGCATTTTTGTACCATGTTTTTTCTCACACATTGTTTACATTTGATCACTGCAACACTTTACTGCTAAGCAGCTGCTCATTTATTGTCTGAAAGCTATACAAAACGAAATTTCATTTTGTGTGCACTCCGTGTATACAAAAATGGCCTTAAATTTTGTCTAAGTCCAAAGAAACGGGGATGAGAGTTACTAGCAAGGTAGGACAACATTTAGACAATGGAGCAATGGAGACAAATTCCATCCATCTTCTGTCGCTTAACCATCACCCCTAAAGACAATTTAGAGATGCCAACAAACAATCATTCAAATCAAGCCAGAGTACCAGGACAAAAAGCATAAAGGGGGAGAACATGAAAACTCCAAGAAGAAAGAAAGCTACCCCAAAATTGAATACAGGACCTTAATACTGCAAGGGAACACTGCTCCAAACTGCACCACCATGAAGCCCAAATGGGATTAATGTATCTAATAATTATATAGCAGTCAGAGATGGAAGTTTTGGGTTGTTTGGAACAAACACATATACAGTAATAAGCAAAATAGTGTTTTGTGAGTTAAAAATGCTTGTAAATTAAGGCAGGAAAGACTGATTCACCCTTTTTTTAGGTCAATGGTTAAAAAAAAGCTTTGATGGGGACAGAGTATATCTATTGATCCACTGAATCAAATAAAGCCTAAAAATAAATAAATGTTAAACCTTTTTAATCTCTTGTTTTCAGCTGTAGCCTATTTATTTACTTATCTAAAATATACGTTGCATTTTTGCGACAATATACATAACACCAGCGGCTTCGAAGCGCAGCTTCCCGTTTCTATGACAACGCGCATCCTCTCATCCTTATCGCGGCCTAAAGCCCTTTATGCTACTTGCCAACACATAGAGCTAATTATAACCACCAAACAACGACCCAGTCGACGGCTGCTTTTGGATCCATGTGAACGGTGTTGGTGTAGTTCTGACTGTACCAAAAAAAAAAAAAATACACAAAAAGGAGCTTTTAGATTTGCTTGATCCAAAAGGCGCACAATTATCAAAACGAGGAATACCTCACATTCCTTCATTGCAGCAGCCTTCTAAACCAAGCAGTTAAGCGTGAGATGAGCAGAACAGAGTGAAAGGCTAAAAAAAAACCTTTAATAGTTGCACAGGCAGATATTATTGCTAATAAAATGAGCATCACTCTTACACTGATGCGAACCAGCGCGTCCATGATGGAGGTAAAGGTTTGTAACTCCGCTTCTGCCATGCTAGAAATATTTCTCCGCGGTATAAAAGAGTCCGTTTCCTGGGGGAAAAAACGCCAGGTTATCCTGTGTGGCTCTACCAGGCCTACACCGGAGCTTCGCTGCTGCGCTACTGAGCTGCACACGCTGAGTGTGTGAGGGGACTGGTCTGACTGCTGGGGGGAAAGATGGGGGGAGGTTGGAGCATAAAAGGCTCTGGCTTTGATATATAGAGGTGTGGGGCCAGAAGGAGCAAAATTCAATCAATAAAAGACAGTCGAATCAAACCTATTTATGATAAATTAAACACCATTGGAAAGAAAAAGCTATTTAAACAGACTACTATTTATTCTCTATAATAGTGTTGATTATATATAGACCTTCATAAAGCATAAAGGAAATCCAATACAATTCTAATTATTTAGGATTTAAAATTTCCTTCCCTATTTCATAAATAATATTTTATTTTATTAATACAAATTAACACATCCATGGGGGGCATCCTAAAAAGAAAATAAAAAGAAATATATGTCTTAAGTAAAGTCTTGGTTGATCAATCAATGTAGTGGAAAAAAAGTAGAAATCCAATTTTTATCTTTCGAAGCGAATTTTCAGTTTATCTGGGAAGTGGAGTCTAAATAGTACAAACGCTGAAGAGTAATAAAAATAGCATCAGAAAGCTATATATTTGGTTTTGTCTATTTCTAAGTGATGTTTTCATATTGTTTAATACGTAAATATGCCTGATCATTTGCATTTTTTTACTGCTTAGTTTAATTTTTGTACAGGGCTCTATACCTGTTAATCCATGACCCCAAGTGGGGCCATGATCCCAACTATGGGATATGGGCTAATCTCACCATCAAGTTTTATAAACTGCACTGCCACCCTATTTAAGAAAAGTAAATAATAACTGGATGGATGGATGGATCTATTTTTATATTAGAATTGAGCCTACCTTACCCTTACAAACTACAGTTGGATATAACAGAATTACAATTTTGAATGTCCACTTTCGAATAGTTTTGTTTGACAAAATAAGTCACACAGAATTTCGTAAAATAAATCCAAACATTGCCTTTTTTATTTCTTTAGTGAATAAATTACGTTGTATTGCATGTCGCGTTAACACCACTAGATGTCAGCATTGTGTAAACGATAGGAAAAAAAACAACTAAATGGGCTTGTATGTCGCCGGAACCTTTAAATGAATATGTTGTGCGTCCGGTCATTAATAGCGATCGTACACATTCAGTGGTTGTTGTGGCAACCGCTTAGAGCGTCAGCGCGGCAAACAAACGAAAAATAAGTTCGATTATATTGTAAAGTAGGTATTTTTGAGATGTAAACATACTTATCTACTGTTTTTCAGAGAGACAATAGTTTTTGTCATGATTTATTTATATATTAAATATTATCCACATGCTAAGTTCGCCCCTTTTCAGTAATTTTAGCTCAGCTGTTCTAGCTGTTTAATGTAGCTTTGCGACATTGCGCGGTATTCAATAACTAGAAGCTTTATCTTTCGTGAACTAGCAACTGCTTATTTCTTTATATTCATCTATACTAGCTCTATACTTGGTCCAACGCGAGACAAACAGTGCTAATATGTCGGCTGTCAGCAGTCTTGTTCCTGCTCGGTTTCTCACCATCATAGCTCATCTTGTCATCGTTATCACCATCTTTTGGTCAAGGGTAAGTTCGATGATTACGATCTAAGGTTAATGCTTGTACAATAAAACTATGCAAGAAAAGTGCTAAAAAATGAATTATGAAGTATTATTATTATTGAGGTTCTAAAGATTCTAACGACATTATTTAATATAGGGTTGTCTTTTTTATTCTTTTTTTTATTTTTTATTATTATTTTTATATATTTATTTTTTATATATTTATAAATAAATAAAAAAATAATAAATAAATAACAACAAATGATAATATAGGGTTGTCATGAAGTGTGTAGAATATCTATTTATTTTTTTTGTTCTTGTTTTTTTTTTCGTTTTATTTTATTAGCTGATTTCTAAGTATATTTCAGATTTAAATGTTGTCTTCCCTAGCCATGATATAATGTCCACCTTCCTGATAGTGTGCTGGTTCCTTTTACTGCCAAAAAGGCCCTGATCACCCTGCTCCAGATTGAGCCATAGGCCCCTGTGGGTGTGCTGTGGAACAGACAGCACACTGGAAGCAGATTCTTTAATTAATTTAACCATAAACAGATTCCTTTGTAGATTGTTATTCTTTGTAATGCAAGTCCATATGATGCTTGATTGAAATTCAGTCTTGGTAATTTATAGTCCAAGTCAACACCGAGCTCATCAAACTATTCATTAACCTTTACTGATTTGTGACAGAGCAGGTAATAGATTTATTTTTTTAATCTATCTATCTATCTATCTATCTATCTATCTATCTATCTATCTATCTATCTATCTATCTATCTATCTATCTATCTATCTCGACATATATCGACATATATCGACATATATCGA